GACATATAACACTATCACATGTTTCCAGTAGATCTTTAAAGGCTCGTCATGACTTGGTATGGGACAAATGAGAGGTGCCTCCTGTTTAGCTGGAGCTAGCAATTGAGAAGTAGAAGAGACATCAGAGGCTGTCACCTCATCAAGACTTATCAGCTTATGATGAGCAATAGGACCCCAAATCTTGTGTACATCCATACACTTTTGGCAAAGAAACTTGTTGCAGTCTTTGCAGTATCCAGTGGCATTAGCTGTAGTACAGTTGTCACAGGTGACCTGTTGAGGATCAGCTACTTTCTTCATTAGACTGTATATCTCTTTGAAGTTGTTGAGAGTGAATGCTACAGGAAAGGCTCCTGCTCCTTCTTCTGGTAACTCTGTACAATGACGACAAGTGGGACAAGAGAGGTAATAGGTCTCATTCTTCTTATCCAGAGGTAATCCCTCCAGACAGTGCTCACAGAATGAATGTAGACAAGGTAAAGTCTTAGGGTTGGTATAGTGGTCAAGACACACAGGACAGGTGAGCTGTTCCTCCAGTTTGAGGAGACCAGGAAAAGAAGATGAAGATGGTCTGGTTGCCATTTCAAGAAAAGAGTAAAATTGTGTAAGTAAAGCAAGAACAAAAAATGTGAAGAGAGATAAAGGTAAAAGATGGTAAATGAAGATAGAGCAAGAAAGAATGATAAGAAAATGAAGAATGAACGAGAATGAGAGTAGCCTGGGGAAAGATAGCCCTGATGACCTCTTGGAGTATTCTATAGTCTCGTGACTACAGGAAGTTATGATAGTACATTCCTTTATTATAACAACCAGTAGTAAAGGTAAATTTACATTAAATTTCATATGTACATGTACATGTACATGCAATATGTATGGGCATTTAGACAACTTAATAAAATTTTGTGAGTTTTAATTTTGACACACAAACAATACATTGCGCATATAAAAATTGAACTCTTAAGAATGCACTTCATCTCCTCTATAAAATCTTCCTATCTTTCTTCCACTCCAACCAGCCTTTACTAACCCTCCCCCTTCTCTCTCTCCCCCCCCTCTCTCTCCCTCCCTCCCTCTCTCCTTACTCTTCTATCAGAGGCACAGGCATCAGGATTAGCAATGAGTGTGTCCCACACTTCATTGCATCTTTTAAAAGGAAGATAGAGTGAGCCATCTTGAAGTAAGAAGTGTAACAACTCAAGATGAGCATTTATACACTAAATAAATAAATAAACAAATAAAAAAATTAATAAAGGAAATAAAAAGAGTCACTTTACCTCTTCTTGTGTGTAACGACCATCAATGATGGTATTACCAGCTATTGAGTGAAAGGAGGGGGGAAGAAAGAAAAAGAAAGAGAGAGAGAGAGAAAGAAGGAGTGAATTGTATATAAAGGAGAAGGATAAAGGGTAAAGGCATAGATACGATCTAAGATACACATGAAATACTGTATATGTATCATCATAATAGTAAAGGTTTATCTATGGCAAAGGTTTAAAAACTCACTTAGTTCTTCTCCTTTTTCTCTGCAGGCAGCAACTGTTTTAGCATGAATCCTAAACAAAATATCATTAACAATCAATAACACAAATACATGTACATCTACATGCAGTATTAAGATACATCTATAAAGCATTACTATCATTAATATCAATGTACTTGTTCATGGTTCCAGAGACAGTTCTCAACAGGTCGTATTGTTTCTGCAGTTCTGCTATCTGTTGCTGGTCCTTGTGTCCATAACTAGACCTGAACATTCCTTTAGCTAGTCTGTGCAACTGAAGCAATGCTGATACTACCCACTGACACTGAGAGAGGAGGAGAGAATTAAGAGAGAAAAAGACAAAAATGAAGAACCAATTACTACATTTATACTGAATACTGTAAAACTTTTAAAGCTGTTAAGTGCAAGTGTGGACATTGATCAAATCAAATTTACCCACAAATTTTACTAAAAAAATTTTTCAATTTTAAAATACCTGTATGCATACATGTACATGTAATAAGCAAATACATACATGTACATGTACATATAATCCATTTCTCCTTTATACTACACACTCTTCATCTCCCTTTCTCCCTCATCCCTTCTCTCCCCCCCCCCTCTCTCTCAGTTTCTCCCTCCTCCTCTCTCTCCTCCTCTCTCCTTACTTTCTTAATATCTTCAACACATTTACCAATATAGTTTCTCTTGTCACTGTCTTTGGTATGGAATGACTCTATCAGTATCGAGTGATGAGAGTCCAGGGCCAGCTCCACCATCTCACGACTCAACTGAGGCAAATGGGCCAGACCCCATAACAGCTCTAAAATCTATAGGGCAGCCATCAAAAATTTAATGGGCAATCCGATAAAATTTTATCAACAAGGAAAAACAACACAATTAATGTATAAATACTAAATACTAATAAAATACATAATTTTAATGAAGCAAAACTATAATATGTACATGTACATGCATGCTGAAAAAATTTTATAGTGACACTGGGTGGACAAGAAAACATTTTTATGGCTGATCCAACAAAAATGTAGTGGGTAGGCAGTCAAAATATGATACCTTTGAAGCAGTCTTTCCAGTCCTATCGTCTTTCCCAATCTTTCCAATCAGTCCTAGCAGCTTCTCTCTGTATCTGTCAGAAGAGGCTTTCTCCCAACTCTAAAAAAAGAAAAAAAATGAAAATACATTAGAACTTCTCTTAATGGACACTCTCTATAGCGTACACTTCCATTTAACGGACAGCACCTAGTGTACCAATTACATTCCTTACTGTATAAAATAACCTCCACATAAAGGACACCTCTGTATAACAGAGACACTTTCTTGTCCCAAAGTTTCCATTATATAGAGGCTAGTCAGTACATGTATCGTTACATGTATACATGTACATTACTTGTTGAATTAGTTGAAATAAAGTATCCATATGTTGTGGTGAGAATCTTGAAGCTGCATACGCTAGTATATTATGAATGTTCTCCACTTGAGCAGGATTCTTGTCAACCTAGACCACACCCATTTAAAACCACACCCATTTAAAAACCACACCTACCTGCATGTCCCATATAGTGTTGAGTTCGTCTGTCGAGAGGTCGGTACCCAAAAACTCGACGATTGATTTCACTTTATCACAATACTGGGCCTGATGTAGATTACCTGCATAAGAAATATGATGGAAATTACATGTACATGTAGGTCTGGTAGAACAAGGTGTAACTAGTTAATAAATAAATTTTATTATTCAATTGCAGTGAATTGCCCATTCAAAAATTGTATGAAAGCACATTCAACTAAATACAAGACCGAATGTTCATGCATCCTTTACTTGATCTCTTTATAAATGCATAAAACGTTACAAGGCTATCGTGGGTCGGACTATAATGATATTCATTACTTGTTACTGAGGCTTGTAACACGTTGTTGGAATCCACTCCAACTTATTACGTAGCATATTATACATGTACATGTACATATTCTATTATTAATGTACGTGTAGCCATAAGGACAATAATGTATGTACATGTACATGTATGTACCGTAAATGTTCAAATAAAATTGCGTAAAATAAAAAAAGAAAAAGTAAAACTGAGATTCGAACTGGACCTCCAGGTTCATAGCACTCAGCTTAACAAGTTAGGCCATTTGGGACAGTCTAAAGATTGTAGTACTTATATTGACTAAAATATGCGTATCTATACTTGGAGATTCTTAGTACCAGGTGTTTATTCAAGCCTGGCTTTTATTTGAACATTTACGGTACATGCATGTACAACGAATAATGTGATATGCATTTTGAGCAACTTCAAAGATTCATTAAAAATCTAATTTTGATCGGAATCAGCTCAAACTTACTACACAGCATAAGAACATGTACATATATGTATCAGAAAAAATAATTAAAGTAGAGGTTTCTCTTCTAGTCATTTTTGGCAAAAATTGGCTAAGGATCCTGTACTATAGTACAGGGACTACAGTCAGAAACCCTAGTAACATGCAGCTGGAATATACTATTAGATGTAGCATAACAACAATATATCTGAGCTATTATTAATGAAGATGTGTATTAAGTAAATGCTGCTTCTGAACTCTAAAACTCTTAGTCAGAATCAGATCAAATTTAAATTTATCATCATTTTATACCAAACATCATTAGTGTATTAATTCTTAATGTATTTAATTACAATGATGACATAAAATAGCCATGAATAATACATTTTATTAATTAATACATTATTACATTAGAGCAGGGCAATTGCAGTGAATTGCCCATTCAAAAATTGCAGCTAAGCATATTTACACAGGCGAAAGAGCCAATGTTCATGCATCCTTTACTTGGTCTCTTTATAAATGCATAAAACGTTACAAGGCTATCGTGGGTCGGACCATAATGATATTCATTACTTGTTACTGAGGCTTGTAACACGTTGTTGGAATCTACTTAGTAACACAGTCACGTTACTAAGTAGGATTGAGTATACAGGAAAATACAAGACTATACTAGAATATACTAGAATATACTAGAATATAGAGGTACATAAACTAGGCATAGATTAGATAACCAGTGTATTATAATTAATAATAATTAGTAAATTTATTAATATTTATTAAAGCAGGGCAATTGCAGTGAATTGCCCATTCAAAAATTTTGCATTACAAAAAACGAACTAAATTCTAATCCAGTTGTTCTACCTTGATCTCTTTATAAATGCATAAAACGTTACAAGCCTATCGTGGGTCGGACTATAATGATATTCATTGAGGCTTGCAACACGTTGTTGGAATGAATTAAAAGATGTTGGAGCTAATTTTCAATAAAAGCATGGGCCATTTTTAAAAACAAGCATTCTCCTTTAAACTTGAAAAATTTAAGGACGTAATATGTATCAAAAAGAGTACAATTAACACACACACCTCCGAATGCTATTGATAAGACCTTATTCTCAATGAGCCACGCCCTTACTCTCTCGACTGCTATTGGGTTCTTTAGACCAGTACGAGCAGGAGAAAAGGGTTCCTCTGTTAACCTAACAACCTTGAGAGAGAGAGAGAGGGAGGGAGGGAGAGGGAGGGAAAGAGAGAGAGGGAGAAGGAGAGAGAGAGAGAGAAGGAGGGAGGGAGAGAGAGAGGGAGG